ATATGGGATCTTTAATATTCAAGCGATTCGCCTTACTCGATTAAAAAACGCTTGATTCTTTGTTGTACGCTGCTGTTAATAAAACAGTCTAACGCACGGCAAGGACGCGTGACGTAAATAGCTTCGCTTGTGGATATAATATGGACATGAACCATCTCAGAAAATAGACGTGACTTTTTGACCGATGCGGAAAATGGACGTGGCTATTTAGTTCCTAAGCCGGCCGGAAATGGACGTGCGTCACTAGCGTACGGCCTAGAGAAAGCGTCGTACGGAAAACGGCAGCGTGGCCTCTCTCAGGTTTCTCTCTGGTACTTACAAGTGAAAACTACGATTGGAAATAGGAGATGCTTCTATTTTGCATATGAAGCATTTTTTTGTCATCTTAGTAATCAATCAAGAGACACTAGTGTCTCGCGCTAATTGTAAAAGTTATGTAATTATCTAGAAAATAACATACAGAATCAAATACAAGCAGAGATACACAATTTTCCACGATCTACTACATATGCGCACGCTCCGCACGCATATATTCCATGATCTGCACATGCGCACATAAACAAAGACAGAGGGGCCCTTATGCAGCGTTCTCTTTCTATCGCTATATCGCTCTTTCAGCTCGTTCGCTCCCTCTAGTTTTATATCTCTATGACTTGTAGTGTGTTCGAAAATAGGTTTGGTTACTGCCAGTAAAAACAGTACTGTTGGCAGCAATGAAAATTACTGGTGCTGCGTTTTGTTTCTGCTGCCAGTAAAGCCAGTAAAAGTCAGATGTAATAACATCAAGTCTGAAAGATAATTTTCATTACATATTTAATTTTAAGAAATTGTATGTTTAATTAGTTATTCACAGACTAATAATAAAAGGCAGTAATTATGGAAAAATATATTTTACTTGACAATATTCTTTTCGAATCTTCCACTAGTGCTTCTTCGAGTGACAGTGATGACAATGAAGAATTATTAAATATTATAATAAATAATAATAGAAATAGAAATAATAGAAGAGTTCCAAAAATAAAAAATTATTTGGAGCATGTTG